AACCTAATACTACTTTATAGTATCAATAACATGTTAATTGCCTTCATTGCTATACAAATAAAGCTCACATAACCAAGTTTCTACATGAGTCTAAAGGTCACCATGTTTGTTCAAAATGGCTGCTCTCAGGGACCAGCAGTTAGCGTAATGGCTCTGTCGCTGGACTCCCACATAGTCGACCGCGGTTCAAGTCCCGGACCTGGTGGCTTAAACTCACGCTGGGCGCGTGTGCGTGCGTGCCCAAGATCCCAAGAGGAGAATGGAGGAGAAGGGATTGCGGCGTAGCCATCCCCCCTGGGGGGTGATTTCTCGCTTTCTGTCTCTATGTCTCTCTCTGTCTGTCTGGCGAGTGCACGCGCCCTATAGCAAAAACCTCTCCAAAAAAAAAAAAAAAAAAAATGGCTGCTCTCTACAACCCTGCTATCCCTTCTCCTCTATTGTCCTCTTGGAATTTGGGGCATGCTCCTACATGTACCTGGTATAATTTTCAAGTCGCAGGGTTTGGGACTTGAACCACAGTCAACCATGTGGGAGTCCAGCACCTTAACTACTATGCCACCTGCTGGTCCCTCAAGATTCTTATCTTAATCCTATCTGCAAAGTCTTGTCATGTAAGGTAACATACAGTCACAGGTTCCAGGGGATTAGGGTGTAATGTCATTTGGAGACGGGCATTATTCTGCCTACCAAAGTTGCTAAATGGGAATGCAGACCTGCTATGGCCATATCATCATCCAGTTCTTTTCAAGATAAACTAGGAATCCGGATTTTTGTGTATGACCATGCAGAAGAGAGAATACAGCAGGCCTGAGACAGCCGTCTTTAGGAAGGCCTGCTTGCAAGGTTGGCCCTTGGCTGTCCTAGAAACTTGGTTCTCAGAGCAGTCAACGGTTAACCGATGAGGATGGTTCCTTGCCCCTAGACTGTTCATGTAAATAATACGAGCTATGCTGGACACCTGCTTTTCTTCTGGAAACCTGGAATTCTGGTATGTGCCAGGCAAAGGTTACTATGTGACAAGCCCTCCCCCCCACACACACACACAAAACTTGGTTATTGGGTCACTAATGAACTCGTGTGGACAGAAACATTGCAGGGAAGGGGCCAGCAAGTGGTGTGGTGGTTAAGGGCGCTGGACTCCCAAATAGCTGACTGCAGTTTGAGTCTCAGACCTGGCAGCCTACTTTTTCTCTCACTCTGTCCCTCTTGTCAAATTTTAAAAATTAAATAAAGTTAGATAAAATAATTCTGAAAGAAAGGAAGAAAGAAAGAAAGAAGAAAGAAAGAAAAGAAAGACTGCAGGGAAATGTCACTGCAATTTTTTTTTTTTAAGAGAGATTTTTTTGCTACAGGGCACATGTACTTGCCAGAGAGACAGAAAGCGAGAAATCACCCTCCATGGGGGATAGCTATGCCACAATCCCTTCTCTCCTCCCCTCTCCTCTTGGGATCTTGGGCATGCATGCACATGAGCCCTGAATGAGTTTTTTTTTCTTTTTCTTTTCTTTCTTGAGAGATTTTTGTTATAGGGCACGTGCTCTTGCCAGAAAGACAGAAATCAACACCCAGGGAGGATGACCACGCCCCACAATCTCTTCTCTTCTCTCGGGGTCTTGGGCACACACGTACACACACACACACACACACACACACACACACGGCATGAGTTTAAGCTACCGGGGCCTGGGATGTGAACCATGGTTGACCACATGGGAGTCCAGCAACATAGCCATTACGCCAACTGCTGTTCCCAAGCCTTGCATGAGTTTTAAGCAGCTGGGTCTGGGACTTGAACCGAGGTAGACAACATGGGAGTCCAGCGATGTAACCATTATGCCATCTGCTGGTCCCCCAGTAGCTGTATTTCATCTTGGAGGGAAAGTGTGCTGTGGTGAGCCCCTATGAGAGGGAGCGGATGCAGGTTCCTGTAGGCTCCGCTGTGCCTTTCCCCCTTCCATCCGGCTGTGAATATTACGACTTCAGGGTAATAAACCTCAGCTGTGAGGACGACTTTGCGCTGAGTACCCGGAGTCCTTCTAGAAAACCTACTGGGGTGTCGTTTGGGGGGATGTCCAATTAGCTCAATCCTTTTTTTTTTTTCATCTTCTAAATGCCATGGAAGTTAACACTGTGAAGCCCAGAGAAAACATTTCTGAGAGGGACTGTGACTGCAAACTCACAACTTCTGCCTTATTTGAGTGTGAACAGTGTGAACCCAGTTTTAGGCCCATTTCTGAAATGGAACAGTTTATTTGACCCACACTCAGCAAATGCTTGTTGTGAGTGCTAAGCCCCATGCTCGGACTAGAGGCACAGACACGGTCTTTTTTGAAACTGGCAGGTGGCAAGGTGGTTAAGGTACTGGACACCTACATGGTCTACCACTGTTTGAGTCCCAGACCTGGCAGTGTGCTTCCTCACTTTGTGTGTTTCTCTCCAGTGAGTGTATGTGCCCTATAGCAAATAAAATTAATAATAATAAATAAATAAAATGAAATAATTATTTTTTAAAAGGACACAGTCCTTCAACAGTCTGTTATCCAGTAAGACATGTATACTGCCTCAGGCTGTAAGGCGTGGACGTGGACCGTGAGTGGGAGTGGCGGTGGATGCAAAAAGAACAGAGGGACCAGCAGTTAGTGTAATGGCTATGTCTTTGGACTCCCATGTAGTCGGCCACAGTTCGAGTCCTGCACCCGGTTGCTTGAACTCACACCGGGCGCATGTGCGTGCGTGCCCAAGATCCCGAGAGGAGAATGGAGGAGAAGGGATTGCAGTGTGGCCATCCCCCCCCACCCCCGGGAGGGATTTCTCTCTTTCTATCTCTCTGTCTCTCTCTCTCTTTCTGGTGAGCGCACACACCCTATCGCAAAAACCTCTCTGGAAAAAAAGAAAAGAAAGAAGAAAAAAGAAAGACAGACAAGTAGAGAAAAGCAGGCATTGGGCGGTCTGGGTGTCTCTGATGGAGATCACGCGGCACTGAGCTATTCCCAGGCTTATTCTTTTATAGAGCAATGGAGGAGGGAGAAACGGAAGGTGGAGACAGGTATTTTCTATTGTCAACTGCAGCTGTGGAACATCTTGCATCTCGAGGTTCTAAACAAGTCTTTCCTGGCCTTCTCTGGCTGACGCTCAGCTTCCTTTAATTTACACGGCAGTGCAACAGTAGATTATGTCTTCGTTAGAGTTTTTGCTTGCCCTGCAGTGTCAGCACAAAGACCATATCTACCTTAAAGGTCACTAGTGTCTAGATCTGGCCACTCTCTACAGTATACAAAGAAGTACAGCATGAAACATACATTTATTGGTTGTGATTTTCAAGCCTCCAGGTCCAAGACTCAAACCACTGTTAGCCATATGGGAATCCAACACCCCAAACACCATACCACCTGTTGGCTCATGATGTGCTATTAGTATTTGCACTAAAAGAACATGGACAAAGTGCTCGAAGACCCCAGACAGCTACTGACATAGTGCTTGATCATTATGCACACATCCGGAAATTCATCTGATACAATTCAAGTTGTTATCCCAGTTTACAAAGGAGGTATCTGCACATAAAGGTCAAAGAGTTTAGGATTTTACCTAAGGAAATTCAGGTCTCTCGCTGTGGTCATTCTGCTGGGGTGGGGATCCACAAGAAAAAAGAGGCTGGGAAAGATCTGCTCTTAAGCAATATAGGGCTGGGACCAGCAGATGGCGTAATGGCTATGTCGCTGGGCTCCCATGTAGTCGACTGTGGTTTGAGTCATGGACCCGGTGGCTTAAACTCATGCTGGGAGTGTGTGTGAGTGTGCCCAAAGATCCCAAGAGGAGACTGCAGCGTGGCCATACCCCCTTGGGAGTGGTTTCTCGCTTTCTGTCTCTCTATCTCTGTCTTTATGGCGCAAGCGCACGCCCTACAGCAAAAAAGAAAAGAGGAAAAAAAAGAAGCAGTGTAGGACCAGCAGATGGCATAATGGTCGCATCGCTGGACTCCCATGTAGTCAACGGGTTCGAGTTCCGGACCCAGTAGCTTAAACTCACACTGGGTGCCTGTGTGTGCCCAAGGTCCCAAGGGGAGAATGGAGGAGAAGGGATTGTGGAGTGGCCATCCCCCAAGGGGGTACTTCTTGCTTTCTGTCTCTGCCTCTCCAGCGAGTGCACTCTCCCTATAGTAAAAATCTCTCTTCAAAAAAAAAAAAAGAAAGAAAGAAAAGAAAAAAAGGCAGTACATTGGAGCCAGCCAGTGGTGTGGTGGTTAAAATGCTTAACTCCTACATGGTTAACCATGGTTCGAGTCTCTTTACTGGCAACTTTTTTTCACTCTCTGGTCAAATTAAAGAAAAAAGTTATTATGAATAAAATTAAATTTTTAAAAAAAAAAAAAGAGAGAGAGCAAAAGCAGTGTGTCTTTAATCTCCAAGGCCCCTTCCTCATGATTCCATTTCCCACAGCAGCCTTGCTACATGGCCCTGTCCGTTTTCTTTCCGTGAATGAGTCGCATTCTCCAAAACAGATGGCAAGTCCACTGGAAGGAGGGACCTCGGTTGTATTTCCCTGAGTTCTCTCCCATGCCTTGCCTAAGTGTCTCTTAGCGATCCTGTGGACAGAACGTTCCCATGTCTAGTCATGTTAGGGTACTGTGTGGTAGCAGCACACTGCCCTGGCCTGGAGGAAGCCATGTGGGAAGAGGCAGGTGAATCCTTTCCAAGTGATGACTAGTGGGGAGACAGGTTTCTCAGGGACATGCCACCCAGCACACGGGGCACTGTCGATGAATTTCCCCGCAGGAGGCCGACAGCTAGAAAATGCCAGGCAAGTAAGAGAAAGCAGATATATGTAGCGGGAAACGACCCTTTCTTGAAAGAAATGGAAATGAAATGCAAAAAGAAGAAATGGCTTCTGCTGAAAGCTGACAGCGCAGGCCGTTAGGCTCGGTGGCAGATTCTGCCCATAGGCAGAAGAGGATGGGAAAGTCAAAAACAGCCCTATCATAACTTCAATGTCTTTCTTTTCAGAATCAACATTTTGACACTTTACAATAATGTTTCAGGATGAAATCAGTGTCTCCTTTTCGCCGATAAAAACGCCAAGGGCTCAGTGAAGCTAAGACACTTGTCCCAAGACGCACGCACAGGGCAGTCCGGATGCGGATCCAGGCCCAGCCCTCCTGTGGTTCTGGCAGCAAGAAAGCCGCCAGGCAGGTGACCGTGAGGGCTCACTAATAGTGACGGCGCGGATGACGGGAACACTGACCAGCGGGTGGGCCGAGCCGAGGCACATTTCCAGGGTCGGCCTGTCTGACTGCGGGGTCGGCTCTGCTGGAGAGAGTAAAGGATTGGCACCCTGGGGCTCAGGCTGTGCAGCTCCCGGCCCTCTAAAGGAATGGCTCCCTGGGGCTCAGGCTGTGCAGCTCCCGGCCCTCGGCCGCCCACGGTCGTCGGCAAAAGCCTGCCGTCTCGGCTGGGGACCAGCAGGCGGCGTGCAGCTGTAAGGGGTTCCCCGGGGACTGGCCGGAGCTGCAAAGCGGGACAGGGCCTCCAGGGAGGCGGGGCGAGGAGGGCACTGGCGAAGGCCGGCTGCAGCTACTTTGGAAGAATGGCCTTGACCGCACTCGGCCTAAATCAGAACACCTGCACGACTGGCGCCCCCACGACGCAGGTGCAGGCGAGGCGCGCCCTGTCACCGCACCCTGCAGGCCGACTACAGGCCTCAGGAGCCCAGAGTGTCGACTCAAAACGGGGAACGAAGGGTTAAAGCCCGGGTCACTAGCCACACAGGTGAGGAACCCAGACGCGGCGGGGGAGGACACAGCGCCTGGCCCCACCCCTCGGGGCGGGCTGCCCTTCGGGGGCGTGGCTCCCGGGCTGCCGAGCAGTAGTGGGCGAACTGAGCGCGCGGCCCCGCCCCCCGCGTATAAGAGCGGTGCGGCACTGCAGCTAGCGCAGTTCTCACCGAGACCCGTCACCCCGACTCTACGTGAGACGCACCTCCCGGACTCACCATGGTGAGTGCGGCCCCGCCGGGATCGCGCCCATCCCCTAACTGCCACTCTCCCTCGGAGACCCTCCTTCCAGGAGTGCTCAGGGCCTTCCACCCAACCTTCGTGGTCCCCAGGAGGTGCAAGGGTTCTGCTTCCTCTCACCTCCACCCCTCCTGGTGACTTCGGCCAAGCTATGTTGTCCACCTTCAGGGGCTGGACATGGGGGTGGGGCGCGCTGAGATCCTTCCCTAGCAGAGTGGGCCCCCCCAGGTAATCCCCTGCATCGCCAAGCGTTTGTGCCCCAGCCCTCCCGAGGGGTCACGCGATCCTGCACTCGTCCTTTCAGCGGGTGAAGGCAGACCCACTTGGCTGGGCCCCCACCCCGCAGTCCCAGGAACTGACCGAACACGTGCTTGGCACCAGAAGGTGGAACAGGTCAGGTTACTTGGTGCCGCATCCCTTTTTCCTGACCATGTGTGCATCCTTCCTACCACAGCACCTCCCTGTGACTCAGCACCCCGCTTCTGAGTCGGGAGGGGTGTCGGGAATGGGGTTCGGCCTGGTGAGGAGAGCCAGCCCCACTCTAGCCCCAGCGCGGGTGCGCGGACGGGCAGAGACAGCTGGCGCTGAGTTACAGGCGGGCCAAGGCCAGGTTGGGGGGAGGGAAAAGAGGTGTGTGTAGGGGGTTGGTATTTATAGCCTGAGAGCGGGGGCCGAAACTCAATCCCCGCTTTCGTTCTGGGATGTAACTGGAAAGACTCC